GATACGACTTAATACATTATTTTTATCATTAATATCTTTTGTCATCATTTTTATTACTATGCACATTATTCATGTTACTCATATCCTTCATATTACTCACAATATCTATATCATCCCTACTTTTCATATCATTCATCATTCATATCTATTCATATAATTTATTACTCATTGTTATCATTATTGTTCTTATTATCATTTTCACTATCATTAGCAGATGATGATAATAATAATAATGATAATAGTAGTAGTAGTAGTAGTAGTAGGGATAGTAATAGTTGTAGTAGTGGTAGTAGTAGTTTTAGTATTCGTATTGTTATTGTCATAGCTATTAGTAGTAGTAGTATTTCTACTACTACTACTACTACTACTACTACTATAAATATTATTATTATTACCATCATTATTATTATCATTGTTATCATTATCATTATTATCATTGTTATTAATTTATTATTATTATTATCATTATCATTATTATCATTCTCATTATCATCATTATTATTATTATTATTATTATTATTATTATTATTATTATTATTATTATTATTATTATTATTATTATTATTATTATTATTATTATTATTATTATTGTTATCATTATTATTATTATTATTATTATTATTATTATTATTATATTATTATTATTATTATTATTGTTGTTGTTGTTATTATTATTATTATTATTATTATTATTATTATTATTATTATTATTATTATTATTATTATTATATTATATTTATTTATTATTATCATTATCATAACTATTATCATAATTTTCATTATAATTATTATCTTTATCATTGTTATCATCATTATTAGTTTTTAATATTATCCTTATTGTTACCATTATTACTATCATCAATATTATTATCATTACTATAATTACTAATATTATTATTATCATTAATATCATTGATTATTCTATTACTATTATTATCATTATTATCATTGTTATTATTATTATCATCACTGGTTATTATTCTTATTCTTATTATTATTATTATTATCATTATTATCATCATTATTATCATTGTTATTTTTTATTATTATCATCATTATTGTTATTATCGTTGTGTTTATTATAATCTTCATTACTATTTTTTGTTTTGTTAATGATTTTATTGTTATCCTTATTGTTTTAATTGTTTTAAGTATTACTACTATTAATAATAATGTTACATCATCGTAGTCATTTTCTTCACACCTGTCGTACGCAGGAATAAGATCTATTGATGCCTGTTATTAATAAATATCAGTATAGGTATAGAGAACTCAAAACTTTGTGATGATATATATAGCAATAGGTAATGCTATATATTTTGCTAAAATAATCTTTCTTTCAATGTATAAGGGAAAGTTTGAACGAATAGCACATTATCATATACATTTTATAAACCCAGTCGATAAAGACATATCAATTCATGTTAAAAAACAAATTCAGAAAGTAATTCATGTAGATATTGCATTTGAATTGTGTCCATCGCTGTTTAAGTTGTTAATTCTAACAGCATTAATTGAAAGAAAAGTTTGCAATACAGTTAAATCTACCGCTTTTTCTTACTCAAAGGAGAAACCAAAGTTACATGTTTACTATGATATTTTGTTTCTGCAGGTTCAACGTTTTGATATATTGGTTAATTTTCAGAAAACTTCCATTTTTCCTAGAAATTTACAAACGTAATTTTACAATTTGTCGGATTTCATGACAAGATAATAACAGACAAGTTTCATGTGATGAAAGTGTGCCACGTCTGATAGAGTAAATTTCCGAAATATCTTGACATAATATCATATAATAGCAAAATTATTTTCAGAAACTCTTTACAAAAATTAAAAATGCACACATATTTATATCCAATACAGAAATGTTTTGATGAATATGAAGTGAGTGATTTAATTTTTTTTAATCCCTTTCTCTTCTGTCAAAGAACTTCACAAATGCACTTGTGTTGTTGACGTTTGAGGTCGCCGGAGGAGGAGGCTGCCTTCCTCACCTGTCAATTTAAGGTTCTTTTGTCCTTCATTACCCTCTGAGGAGTTTTCTGGGTAAGTTAGAGTGACACTGAATACTTAGATTCGCAATTCGGGTAGATGTTAATTCGAAAAACACATTTTGAAAAGGAGAATAAGAAAAGTGGTGACAGGAGCGAATGGTGAATGATGAGGTGGCGGAATGTGAACATCTTTTTACTATTATTTTCGGCTTTGACGCCTCATATATTTTCGGCTGTAAATGGAAAATGTCATTTTGATGGTACAGACGAGGTGACGAGTTGTTTATTAGTCTATAATACATGTACAGCGTTAACTCTACAATGTGTAGATTTGTATTTGGGGAATGCAGTTTGCCGCAAGACATTTATTATGTATATGTATATACATTACATTATTTGTTCAAGAAATACACGCTTTATTAGAATTCCAGTGGATTTATGGACCTTTATTAAAACATTCTCTAGCCTCAGCTTCCTAAACTTCTATGAAAGTCTCTTATGCATTTCTTTGAGGGCAGCAAAACACTGGATTTACCAATACTTGTGTGTCAGTCTGTAATGGTCAGTGTTCAGTATTTTAGCATCTGTATTTTGAATTTATTTATGTAATGCCACAGAGTATTTGTCGGAAAGCCATTCATGGTAGAGATCACGGACACTGACACGAGTAGATAGTAGTAGATGGACACCGCCATCGTATAGAGCAGAAGAAATAGAGAGTTAGGAAGGCTATAAGCACAGTTATTTCTCACAAGGTTCAAGGTCTTCCACTGTGGTAATGTTTCACAGAAATGTCAAGCAGAACACTGGGCCATCACAGGATTTACCAATGTCCCTGGAAAAGGTTAACTGTCAGGAAAAACGTCATGCCATGTAGATAAGCCGATGTTAAGTAGCAAACATGAAATAGTACTAAACGATATGAGTAATAAGAAATCTTTACTCAGAGGTTTGAAATAAAAGCAATGAATTATTATTTTGTATAGAAAGACAATATACAAATACAAACAAATGCACTTGCTGTTGCTGATGTTTTTCTAGCTTTGTATTTTTCCTGCTTTGATATTTCTGTTATTATATTTAAGCAATCTGTTTTACTCATTTCCCTATGGTTTCCTCCTTCACACTACTGTTAACCATTCTTTTCTACTCGTGTGTGTGTGTGTGTGTGTGTGTGTGTGTGTGTGTGTGTGTGTGTGTGTGTTGTGTGTGTGTGTGTGTGTGTGTGTGTGTGTGTGTGTGTGTGTGTGTGTCGTGTCGTGTGTGTCGTGTGTGTCGTGTGTCATGTGTGTGTATGTATCGTGTGTCGTGTGTGTGTGTGTGTGTGTGTGTATGTGTGTGTTTGTGTGATGTGTGTGTGTTTGTGTGTGTGTGTCTTGTATGTGTGTGTGTGTGTGTGTGTGTGTATGTGTGATGTATGTGTGTGTGTGTGTGTGTGTCGTGTGTCATGTGTGTGTGTGTGTGTCGTGTGTGTGTGTGTGTCGTGTGTCGTGTGTGTGTGTGTGTGTGTGTGATGTATGTGTGTGTTTGTGTGATGTGTGTGTGTGTGTGTGTGTGTGTGTGTGTGTGTGTGTGTGTGTGTGTGTGTGTGTGTGTGTGTGTCATGTGTGTGTGTGTCATGTGTGTGTGTGTCATGTATGTGTGTGTGTGTGTGTGTGTGTCATGTATGTATGTGTGTGTGTGTGTGTCATGTATGTATGTGTGTGTGTATCATGTATGTATGTGTGTGTGTGTCATGTGTGTATGTGTGTGTGTGTGTGTCATGTATGTATGTGTGTGTGTGTGTGTCATGTATGTATGTGTGTGTGTGTGTGTCATGTATATATGTGTATGTGTGTGTGTGTGTGTCATGTATGTGTGTGTGTGTGTGTGTGTGTGTGTGTGTGTGTGTGTGTGTGAAGGTTTTCTCTTATCTCTACCTTGCACTTCGAAGTGCTATAAAGCGCACAGTTTCAACAGCGTGTTGTGCAGTAGTTGTATTCAGTCCCAAGAGGTAGTACACCATGCAGATAATGAATACATTGTTTACAAAGACACACACTGTTGAAAGTCAAGAAATGTGTTTCTGTATTAATTCTGCCGTATTAGCTTTTATGATAATGAAATGCTACTGGGCACTTCTTGAGTTGTATTTTATAACATGTTAAACAAACCATAGGATGTTGAAAGTGAAGAAACATGAGAACAAGGTTCTTAACTTTTAAGCCTAGCTGCTAGGCTGAAAATGGAAAATGTAATATAATGATAGGAAATAGATTGTTATGAGTACTTACACATACGTGTCATAATAAATGTGTTTAAATGCAAAATCTAAAATGCAAAAAGTTTGTATGGATTAATGTTTACATTTGATAGTTCTGCATTTCACTTTTATTTGCTGTTCAGCTTCTTATATCTTTGTATTTTGTACAAAGTCTCTGAGTTTAGGACTTTAGTAGAATGGGGTAAATGGCTTGAAAAGTTCCTAATTTTTTTCTTCTTTAATGCCAGCAGGTCTGAAGTGCTCACCCATACCAGCAACATGGGTACTCTGGAGCAGCCATGTTATACCCTCATTCAGGCTCCCACAGACACAGAGCAGCCATGCGAAATGACACTGAAGCGGGACCTTGGTAAGACATAGATTAGCGTTTTGTATGATTGATGTTGATTCTGAAATTTTTAAATAATTTCTCATACTCCTCCCCCTTAAAAATAATGAATTGTAGTGTAGTGAATAAATATTTGTTTACACCAACAGAAAATGGAGACATTCCCGGTAAACAGGCTGCCCTGAAGAAAGTGATCCAGCTTATCCTGAACGGAGAACGTCTACCAGGAATCCTGATGACAGTGATTCGCTTCGTGATGCCCCTTGAAGACCACACCATTAAGAAGCTGCTGCTTGTCTTCTGGGAGATTGTGCCCAAGACCACTCCTGATGGCAAACTTCTGCAGGAGATGATTCTTGTCTGTGACGCCTACAGGAAGGTAAAGCAATGCGTTGAGGAAATTACATATTAGCTG